CACTGCAAGAACTTGCTAATCAGGGAGAGTCTCATTTTCCTTTAGCTGCAAAGGCAATAAAGAAAAATATTTATATAGATGACGCAATTTGTGGTGCAAATGATCTAAAATCTGCTCTAAGTTTGCAACACGAACTTGTTGATCTTATGCGTACTGGGGGGTTCGAATTGAGAAAATGGGCAAGTAATCAACCTGATTTGTTAAGCCATATTCCTCCTTCTGATGTACAAATGTCTTGTAGCTTTGACAAAGAAGAACCTTCGTTCATTAAAGTTTTAGGTCTAAAATGGTGTCCAAAATCTGATGAGTTTACTTATTCTTTTAATCCAGTTGATCGCCAATGTACTAAACGGAATATACTTTCCGAAATTAGTAGAATATATGACCCTATTGGTTTTATTTCCCCAGTTATTCTATTAGCAAAATGTCTTCTACAAAAACTCTGGGAATCTAATATATCTTGGGATGAAACTCCTTCTACAGAAATATTGCAGGTCTGGAATAGGTATAAATCCGAACTATCTCAACTAGCTGGAATTAGAATACCTCGACGTGTTATTTCTGATAATATTTCTTGTATCGAACTGCACGGTTTCTGTGATGCTTCCAAACTGGTTACGCAGCCGTCATATATTTTCGGACTATCAATGATAGTGGTCAAGTCAGTACCTTTTTGGTCACTGCTAAGTGTAAAGTGGCTCCATTAAAAATTGTTTCATTGCCTCGTCTAGAGCTCTGTGCAGCTGTTTTATTGGCGGATTTGCTTACTTTTGTTACTACTACTTACGCAGATTATCTCTGTTTTAATTCCATATATGCATGGTCTGATTCGACTGTCGTTTTAGCCTGGTTAGCTGCCAGTCCTCATAAATGGAAAACTTTTGTAGCTAACAGAGTAAGTCATATCCAAGGCAAAGTTTCTAACACTTCCTGGCGTTATGTTCCGTCCAGTGACAATCCTGCAGATTGCGCATCTCGTGGTTTAACTGCATCTCAACTCTTAGAACACAAAATTTGGTGGCGCGGTCCAAACTTTCTTCAACATTGCAACCGAGATGTCTGGCCTGCTCAACCTCATTTAGAAATGTGTGAATCTGTCTACAGTGAAGAAAAACAAACATCTCTCCATGTTTCATTAGAAGAAGATATCATATGCGATCTGCTACACAAGTTTTCTTCGATACGTAAAATTCAAAGAATTTTAGCCTATGTTTTAAGATTTTTCCTTAAATCTAAAGATTCACTGCAAAGTAAAACCTCTTTTATTTCATCTTCTGAAATGCGTAAATCATTGATTTATATTATTCGACATGTTCAACGAAAGACCTTTTCAGACATTATAGATAAAATTCTATCAAATGCTTTACTTCCTAAACCTTTTCGGAAACTCGCACCTTTCTTGGACTCGGAAGGTCTTGTCAGGGTGGGTGGCAGACTTAATAATAGCAACTTCACTTACGATGTAAAACACCCTATATTATTGCCTAAATCACACAGACTTACTGATTTGATTATTGAGTGGATTCATCAAGCAAACCTTCACCCAGGTTTAAAGACATTGCACTGTTTAATCCTTCAACAATTTTGGATACTATCTCCACGAAGTTCTATATACAAATGTTTAAATCGATGTATTCGTTGCTTTCGCTGTAAACCTAAATCATACAATCCTTATATGGCTGATTTGCCATCGTTACGTATTTCACAATTGAAGGCTTTTTCGTCCATTTGTATTGATTTTGCAGGTCCCTTTTCTCTAACAATGCATCGATACAGAAAAGCCAAGATCTATAAGGGATATGTTTGTGTTTTTGTATGCTCAGCTACCAAAGCAATACATCTTGAAGCTACTTCAGACCTTACTTCTGAGGCTTTTTTGGCCGCTTTTAAGCGTTTTGTTTCGCGTCGTGGCAGATGTTCTTTTATTTCTAGTGATCAAGGTACTAATTTCAAAGGTGCCAGCAACCAAATGCTTCAATTCGCCCAGGTTGCGGCTCAAATTTTATCCATTACTTGGAAATTTAATCCACCCGGCAGTCATCATTTAATCATCATCTTAATAGATTGTCAAGATGGCAACTAATTCAACGTATGCATACTGATTTCTGGAAACGTTGGTCTCAGGAGTATGTACATTTAATGCAAGAACGGCATAAATGGACCGAACCTACTCCTGAAATAAAATTGAATTCATTAGTTCTGATCAAACATGAAACAAAATCTCCGTTATCTTGGGAATTGGGTAGAGTCATAAAGCTTCATCCCGGAAAAGACAATATTGTTCGTGTAGTCACACTTAAAACTGCACATGGGATATTACAAAGACCAGTTGTCAAAATTTGCCCTTTACCTGGCAACTAATAAGGTAAAATAATTCTTTATACATTTTTTTATTCTTAACTTTGCATTATTTTTTTTTCTTTATCTTATTTTTAAAAACATATGTTTTGGTGGGTGGAATGTTAAGGAAACTTAATATTTCTTATAAAATTATTTTCTTTTATGTAATTTCTTAGATTAAGATTAATTATTTTAATTTCTTTAAATTTTAAATTGCCGCACTTATACCTGCTTCCTGCAACATCAGTGTACGCATGCCCGAACACTAGGAAGTGTGGCATACAGTCTATTACAAACCGTCGTACGACGAAATTGGTCAGCTAACCGGTACGCGCCGAAAGTCTGAACTTAAAAGTTAAATCCCTTCAAAAACGATTTATGTTAGTGTATGTGTGAAAATTAGCGCTGAGAAGATCAAGATCGAGAAGAGGGCCCTCTGAAGCTGTCTGAGACGACCATTAAAGGTAGGAGCAGGTTTCTCATTTCTCTGTGCGGTTTCTCCCAGCTATTAACGTAATTTTCATTGATAAAATAAGACCAGTCAAACTAAAATTTAAAATTAATACAGTCCACAACTGCATTTCTGCACACTATTCAAACCAGTTAAAAAATATGTAGGTGGCTCCCTCTACTAGTAGGAGTCATAATGACATCAAAATCAAATTTCTCATGTCAAAAAACTCCCAGACACCAATTTTCATGCAAATACTGAAGTTACTTCAGAAATTATTTGGAAAAATTCGAAATAAAAATGAAATTTCTACACCCTGTATCTCCGAAACTAAGCATTTTTATACGAACTTTTTTACTTGTTTTTATCTGCAGAATATGCTGCCGAAGTTTCCGGAATACAATTCGGACCACCCTGTATATGAGCAATTCATCGGCGTGTTATAAATACTTTAAATAACATTACTTACTTGTACAAGAATTTCCATAATACCTAATCAGTTTTATTCTTTTCAACGTTTTTCCACGTAAATGATACATAATTTTTATAAAAATTAAAAAAATAAGGAGAAAAGTAATAAAAATTTAATAAAATAACGCACTGTTTTCGAAGTTTGGTCTACTACCGTTGTATAAAAATTAGGATAAGAATGGAAGGATTCTACCTCTACCATATCTTCTAAGAATTACTTATAAGTGTAATTTTTAAATTATTTTTCATATTCATTAAGTCCAAAATGCTGCTATTTCAGTTCTTTAAAAACGCATTAAAAATTTATTCGTTTTTGGACTTGATGTTTTGCTTCTAGACCGACGATATTAGAAATATATATGGTTATGAATATCATATTTTTTAAAATCTAATTGATTATTTCTATATCTGTTTGGGTAATATTCAATTCCATTTTCAAAATTTCAGACAATAAAGGTTGCTATCTCCAGAAGTATATTTTTATTTCTTATTTCTGCAAGACGAATATCTGTTATCTCCCTATTGTGTCTGAAAAAAATTGTGTAACACGAAATATTGAGTTTTATTGTTCCCCAGCAAATAAAATTCTTATCTCTTTATCATATCGTTTTTTTGCTCTCCTGTAAAATTATGAATAATGGAGTTAGCAGTTTATCACATTTCACCGACGGTATATGGATGATGTACGTATCTATATACTTACATTTTATATAATGGAAAATAAATTTCTTGCAGTTTTTAGGTATATAATAAAATCATATAAGAGTTTTTTGCCTTGAACTGCTAATATAGAAATTAATTCCACGCTGTGTTCGACATAATGTGGATCAACCTGCTCTCACTACCGGTTTCGGGGCCCTACCCCATCATCAGGTGAGCTTGGGTCGTTTCCACAATATGTCGAGCACAGCGCAGAGTATATAAACACGACTTGTCGTAAAGTAGCGGTAAGATATTAAGTCCCGCATCGCGAGATAGCGGCCTCTGTGCAATGGTAGTACTTTCGTACCACCGAGGCACAACTATCGATAGTATATAAAGGCTTTTTTCGGCTAGCCCAAATTATATAATGGAAAATAAATTTCTTGCAGTTTTTAGGTATATAATAAAATTATATAAGAGTTTCTTGCCTTGAACTGCTCTCACTACCGGTTTCGGGGCCCTACCCCATCATCGGTGAGCTTGGGTCGTTTCCACAACATGTCGAGTACAGCGCAGAGTATATAAACACGACTTGTCGTAAAGTAGCGGTAAGATCCTCGCGATGCGGGACTTAATATCTTACCGCTACTTTACGACAAGTCGTGTTTATATACTCTGCGCTGTGCTCGACATATTGTGGAAACGACCCAAGCTCACTCTTATATAATTTTATTATATGCCTAAAAACTGCAAGAAATTTATTTTCCATTATATAATTTGGGCTAGCCGAAAAAAGCCTTTATATACTATCGATAGTTGTGCCTCGGTGGGACGAAAGTACTACCATTGCACACAGGCCGCTATCACGCGATGCGGGACTTAATATCTTACCGCTACTTTACGACAAGTCGTGTTTATATACTCTGCGCTATGCTCGACATATTGTGGAAACGACCCAAGCTCACCTGATGATGGGGTAGGACCCCGAAACCGGTAGTGAGAGCAGGTTGATCCACATTATATCAAACACAGCGTGGAATTAATTTCTATATTAGCAGTTCAAGGCAAGAAACTCTTATATACTTACATTTTTTAGTAGTGAAGAAGACGCTAAATTAGAATATAATAGAGAACAAAATGAAAACAGGGATCGAAATACAGAAAGGCCGCAACGTTTTTCAGCTCGACCTGCATCTGCTTGGTTATCGATGTATTAAATTGGCTTGGTTAATCTATATTTTTGACTAAAATTGTTTCAGTTTCAGTGGTGGTATTAGTAAAATTAGAGTCGGTATATATGGTTCAAATCAGCTGTTAGAGCCTCAAGATGATCAGTTCCGTTTTAGAGAAAGACCTTTAAGAAAGGTCAGTATAAGAAGGCTTTCCTTAAGGGGCTATAGGGGAATAACCAATACGACATTAGAACTTATTAAAAACATAAATTTAAGTTTACTAGATGTTACTTATACTAGTGTGACTAAAGCTGCTATTGAGGAATATTTGATATTTAATCCAAATTGCAGAGTTGTTCATGAGAATTTTTGTGTTTGTAAACCTAGGATTCCATGCTGATTTATATATAAATCTTAATTTTAAGTTTTTATTTATATTATTTATTAAATATGGAAATATATTTTTATTTTGTTAAAAGTTTTAATCAATGATTATTATAGAATGTATTTATTTTTTTAAATATAGTCATTAATTTATGTAGCTTATATATAATGTGAAATTTCGTTACATAGAATACATGTAGGGCCTTAGTGTAGAGCATAATATAATCAAGGACTATTTTAATTTTTAAATATTTTTTTTAAGAATTTTACATTTTTAAATAGAATTTTAGTGTTCTTTAAAATAAAATCCTTGTCGTTGAAGATCCACTTTTGCTTCTTGAATCTCCTATAAAATAGCCAAGAACGTTTTTTTGCTACATTATAGAGATTAAGAATATTTACCTTTTGAAGTTCATCAGCGGCTTCGTTACAGTTATTAAATGTAAAAACTCTGTACAAAACTATTATTAGAGCATATATCTACAACAAAATATAGTCATAATATAATATTTTATAATTATAAAAACGTACCCCAAATAACACAATAAAAATTATAGGAGAAAATAACAGTAACTGATAATAATCTTTAACAAAAATGTTTTCAATTTTATTTGTAAGTAGGGCTAGCCAAATTGCCCCTAAAGCACCTGCTACAAAAATCCATTCCATTAATTTAGTCATATTACTATTATTTTTCAATCAATATAATGCTTTTATCAAAAACTTTTTCACAAAAAAAACATGGAAAAAGACAAAGGACCTACGCATAGGACCTACGGCTGCAGATTAAAAAAGGATACACTATTAGTAATGGGAATATATCGAAGGGTAGGTACGATAGAACTAATTCTAAGGCCTTGACGGCCTTGACCTTGATGCCTATAGACCAGAGATATAGACATAAGTATCATCCATGATACAAGATACAAAGAATTACTGAACGAAATTGGAGCCGCTATCGATCCAGAGATATGGAAGTGGTTTGGTATCTCTGTATCGATCATACCAACATTGCATACCAATGACTAAAGAATACAAAGACATGGGTATACCAAGACATGTAACGGCCATATACGGGCTGCAGCAAAATTTGTGAGCATTTTTTTGGACATAACGAATGAATCATCAACGACAATTTTAGCGATTTTTAATAATAGTTGGTTGTGTGTAGTCTTTGAATAAGAAGACTAAGGAAGGAGCATAATGCTATCCATGTATTCATGCATGGTGGGCGGAAAACAAGCGGAAAAGCCACCATAAAAGCTCTCTAGGGTGGGGATCCTTGACAGTTCTGTTTGACGATTCATTTGACATATTTGAATTTGATTTGAAATTTTGTGGATTTGTCAGTCTTTTTATGTTATTTATTATTTATTCTACTACTGATAGTTGTATAAAGGTAGTAAATCTAGATGGAAATTGTGGCAGAACTTAAATTAACAGTGACACTATCGCGATTTATCGAAAAAGACTCTAAAATAGTTGGTTGTGTAGCGTGCGGTAGATCTCGGCAAAAATTGAGTGAAATAATGGAACAACTTTTCGCTAGTAAGTGACTATATAATATAGATACGTGTAGTTTTATGAAATTCACTTAAATTAACTAAATTATATATTTTTCTTGCATTTTAGCTTTTATTTATTACTTGTCAAAGATTAGATGTCAAAGAATTTAGATACGTTAATTTGACTTACCTGCTTCAGTAGCGTATCGGATGTTTGTGTTAATAAATACTTATTATAACTTATCTATTTTTATTAGAATTATATATTTTTATAACAATTTTAATAACTACCAACATTTACTCACAACGTAAAATAAAACAACAAATTATTGAGTTTACCCCGCGTCTACCCTACATCATAGTTTTACATTTTTTAAATAAAATTAGAACGACACTGATAAACCGGAATTTAAGTCGGCCATATTTGAGGCCCATCGCGGTGTACCTAAGATTTTTGATATGCTCCGAGGATATATAGAAGAAGGATATTCAACTCCCTATAGCGGGCTATGTTGGAAAATATGCCGTATTTTGTCGAGGAAGACGATTTCGTCACGACCAATGAGCGTCGAGTATTTGAAATTGAAAACCCATAAAATAATAAATACAAGAAGAAGTGTCAAGTCAATGTTAAATTATGGAAACAGCGTGGCTGCCTGGGTAACTAATTTTCAGATATGGCGGCTGGGACATTTGACATGACTATGGAGGGCTTAAGACTCTATGGAGGGACTTACTATGGAGGGCTTAGACTCCATAGACATGACATAGACATGACAATTTCAATTTTATGAAATTTAAATACTTATTATAACTTATCTATTTTATTAGAATTATATATTTTATAACAATTTTAATAACTACCAACATTTACTCACAACGTAAAATAAAACAACAAATTATTGAGTTTTACGTCTACCCCTACATCATAGTTTTACATTTTTTAAATAAAATTAGAACGACACTGATAAACCAGATTTAAGTCAAGCCATATTTGGGGGCCCATCGCGGTGTACCTAAGATTTTTGATATGCTCGAGGATATATAGAAGGATATTCAACTCCCTATAGCGGGCTATGTTGGAAAATATGCCGTATTTTGTCGAGGAAGACGATTTCGTCACGACCAATGAGCGTCGAGTATTTGAAGTGAAAACCCATAAAATAATAAATACAAGAGAGAAGAAGTGTCAAGTCAATGTTAGGGGTATAGAAACAGCGTGGCTGCCTGGGTAACTAATTTTCAGATATGGCGGCTGGGACATTTGACATGACTATGGAGGGCTTAAGACTCTATGGAGGGACTTACTATGGAGGGCTTAGACTCCATAGACATGACATAGACATGACAATTTCAATTTTATGAAATTTATTTCCGTTTCCGGTTTTTAATGGCGGGCTGTTCAGGAGGTTTAAATGAGGGTTAATATACTTTTTACTCTTTCTAGTGGTAAATAATACAACAAAATTACTCAAAAATATTTATTTGGAATTTAGAACAATGTAAATATGCAAATCAACACAATTAAAGAGCTATAAACCAATAAACTACTGTATCAATATTAAATATTTAAATAATATCAGAGATGCTGTGTTAAAGCGAATTAGTAAAGTAACAGTGCATTGACTTACAGAAACTTGAAGATAAATAAATGTTTTCACAGCTTCACGGATAAATAACTGGAAGCAGGAAAAAGGCAACCGGAACCCACACAAAACCTGGAATCAAAAAAAATATGTAAAAAATATAAATATAGGTACCTACATAAGACTTTTGTGAATTAAATCAAACAGGACTTGAATGAAAATAAAATGAATAAAAAATATGATACATATACATCTAATACCTCATTGTATTTTAAAAATAATCTACATACATAGATTTATAGCATTATTGCTATGACCTCTATGTACCTATGTGATATGTAATTACGCATTTCTGTTCATCTTTAGAAAATTAATGTAGGCTAATAATAGTTCAATAATCATAATTTACCTTGTATAACTTGCTTTCAATTGCTCAAAATCACCGATCAGTCTTTAAAGTAGAGATACGGGAAAATCCTTGGCAAAGAATATCCCAAGATCCTTGGGTTTAAAGCTAAAAAAATATAAGAACAGTTAATATATTACCTATTTTTACATATAATATGGCCCATACCTACTACACGCAGAAACGTCGATTTCATCATTTTCTTCATGTAATTAATATCATATATACCTACTTTATTAAAGTGTTAACAAGGAACTTTATATCAAAAAACATCTTTGTACTTATAAATTTCAGTCGAAATATCAGAAACAAACTTCCAATCAAATCTAAACGGCAAAAATTAAAATGGAGCCCGACCTTGCCAGAGGCCTCGGGAGCTGACGCTGACACACAGACAAAAGACAAAAGAACAGGACGCCGACGTGCATAAAAATGTTCCGTAGCAGAAATTGACAGAAATCATATAGAAATATTCAGATTTTTGTCTAGGACAGTCTAGAAGGCCATGCTTTCTGCCTGGGTAGAACCGCGCCACAACTGTTTCCAATTTTCCGGTTTACTGTCACCCCCCTGTGAAAACCTATTAATTGACGGTAACCTATGTTTTTTGACTCATTTCACTGACAGATGTGAAGAGATTATTATTGTAATTTATAGATCCAAACGTTTTTTGAAAAAATAATGTATTTTAAAGTTATTTCCTAGAGTTTGGTTTCGCCTTCTATATTCTGGTATTTGTCTACTAATAAATAATATCTTATTTTGTATTTCGATGTATGGAAATCCGCAAGTTTTGTATCTGAAGCCGCAAAAAATTTCGCTCTATAGTGAGAAAAATGTTATTATATCTTTTTAGACGTGTAGAATTACAAAATTTCTTATTTCAGATGTTCTAAATGTGAGTGCATGTCAAAAATTTAAATATATACTTGAAATATTTCATGTTATATGCTTTGACATTTTTTGGAAGTAAACAAATATTGAAGAAAGTGTTGTGCCTTCACAGAATTTAAATTGGCATTAGGAATAGATTTCCTTGATTTAGTAATGATATTGCTCATAGAAATTGATAATATGAAGAATAACAATACATGAACATAGAATAACAAGAAAGAAATTCTAGCAGCAAGTTAGGTTATGAGATAAATTTTATTTATATAGTTTGTTTAAAGAGTTTAATTTGAAAAAAAGGTAAAACAATTATTATTGTCCAGGTCATATTTGATAACTGTTGTGAATTGATAACATAAAGAAATGTTTGCAATGGATATTAATAAATTCTAGCCAATTTGTATGATGTACAATGCAGACAATATTTCTACCTCCTAACGCACTATTCGCGTAAAAGAAGATGTGGGTATTGTATTTATAGGTAGTTAATGATACATGGAATATATTTCTATATTATTGCAATAACGATGTCTTTATGTTGTATTTTTTTGGAACAGATTTATTATTAGTTGGCTAGTGTGTTAGTAGGATAGCCATTGGTAATTATAAAGTATGAAGTTGTCATGTATTAATAATAGGAATTGATCAAAGCTTATACATTTATTGTGATATTTATATTGTGAATTTAAGTAGTTAGTTTTGGTTGTTTAATAAACGAATTAATGTGCTTATTGTGCATCTAATTAAAAGAACAATGAAAAGTTGAATACCATAGGGGTACGTATGTTATACAAAGAATTTGCATCAACATTTTTTTGGTTATATACTTGTACTGATATTTGTTTCTTGAACTAAAGAATTATACAGTACCTACTACACAATATAATAATCTGCAGCTACATAGGTAGGTAGCTGTTGGTAATTAAATTTTTTATCTAATATAATATCTAACATCAGAAATATTGTTAATTATCAACTATAAACAACTAAGAACTAGAATTATCAACTATAAACACAATATAATATACTGTATCTTAAGCAATATGTAATTATTTAACAATTATTTTTTTTGGGAAATAAAAACTGGTACTAAATTCTTTTTGACTATTTAATTTCTAAGTCACAAATAATGGTGGACAAATAGCAAGAAAATTATACAAGTAAAACATAATTTTAACTTATTTCTCTAATGGAATTTTGGTATTGATCTACTTAGTAGGATATGCAGTTTATCATATTTTTGAATATTTATATTCAATATTGTTCAGGAACAGCCCAATTACTCTGAAAAAAAAATATATGGTCAAATTCTTTGAAAAGAAACTTTTAAAATCAGTAATGATAAAAAAATATATAATTGTTGTATAGCAGAACCAGGGGACACAGAATTAGGGGAATTAACAATAGATTATTAAAAACTGCCTTCTCTTAAAAAAGTAGTATTATATGCACTTAGAAAGACTATAAAGGATATAAGTACGCATAGAAAGAAAGTAAGTATCTATACTACTGATATATATATATAACTATATATGAATACGATACCTACAGTATACAATATTATTAGTATAAAAATAACAGCACAGTCGGCACACTTTAAAATAAAAAAGCAGCATAATATTCAGGTATGTATAAAAGTAAAATTTTCTCAAAAATATTAGAATATGAAATAAATTGCAACTAAATTTTAATTAATAAACATAAACAAATAAAATTGTCAGTGTTATTAAAACTTATGCAAATATATGTTACCTTAATACTTGTCTTTAATCCTACTCTTCTGACATGGCTTTTCAAACTTATCCCCAAATCTCAATTCTTGTTATTAAGAATAATATTTATGAACTTTTGTTTCCATATTAATTTCAATATATTTGAATAAAACTGGAAAAATAATCAATATTGACACTTGAAATATTAATTTCTTATGTCCTTAAATTATTTATATCGTGTTATACATAATATTTACATAAATATTCAATTTAAAAATAGATCAGCACTTGAACGAGTGAATATAAAATAGTATATCATCAATTTCTATGAGCAATATCATTACTAAATCAAGGAAATCTATTCCTAATGCCAATTTAAATTCTGTGAAGGCACAACACTTTCTTCAATATTTGTTTACTTCCAAACAATGTCAAAGCATGTAACTTGAAATAATATTTCAAGTATATATTTTAATTTTTGACATTAAGCACTCACATTTAGAACATCTGAAATAAGAAATTTTGTAATTCTACACGTCTAAAAAGATATAATAACATTTTTCTCACTACAGAGCGAAATTTCTTTGCGGCTTCAGATACAAAACTTGCGAATTTCCATACATCGAAATACAAAATAAGATATTATTTATTAGTAGACAAATACCAGAATATAGAAGGCCAAACCAAACCTCTAGGAAATAACTTTAAAATAAATTATTTATTCAAAAAACGTTTGGATTTTGGATCTATAGATTACAATAACAATCTCATCACATTTGTCAGTGAAATGAGTCAAAAAACATAGGTTACCGCATGGTTACCGTCAATTTATATGTTTTCAATTTCAAATACTCGACGCCGATTGGTCGTGACGAAATCGACTTCCTCGACAAAATACGGCACGTTTTTTTTGGGCCAGTCGAATATCCTTATTCTATATATCCTTGATATGCTCCTTCTTATTCAAAAGGGCTTTTCGGAAACTGTGATCTGATTGATCGGATTGATAGGATTACTAATCCAGACGTTCGAAAAGTGATCTCAAAACGAGTCAATGCGTTCGGAAAGTGATCCGAATAACTCGATTTTTGCCATATGTTGTGATCCTACTAACCCTCCTAATGAGGTGGGTAGAATTAATCAGCTGATCATTTCTAGGATAATTTTAAACGTAACGGTCCGCATAGAAGTATAAAGTTTTTTAATAACCGTTTTGTCCGAAATCACTTTATCTAATGTTGATCAAATACATGATATTTTGTTAGTGACCGTAAAAATGAGCCAATCAGCATAGCATCAAGTAACTCTAGATTTTAAATAAATAAAAAACCAACAAGTAATTCTAAAGATACTGACTGCGAAAAAGCACTATCGGAGACACCCAATAGGAAAAAAATGAAAACTCAACTACAGAAAAGTGGTTTAAAACATTTAGATTAAAATAGCCAGGCATAATGAAAGAATGGAACTTGATAGACAATTCTGAAAATTTTCATCACAATTGGTAGATAAAAATTGATATATTTTTTTATTATTAATATGATGGAATGTTTATTATGTTGGCAGTAAATAAATGATTAAAATAAAGTTTATAGTGTTTTTGTTTTAAATGGCATAATTTTAAAAAAGCCTAAAATAAAACACATTTTGTTTTTATAAAAAATAGTCTTACAGAAACTAAAAAGTATACTTAAAGCAAAACAAATAGGATAAAAATAGATCTTATACAATCGTTAAAGAGGGATATTAGGATTATTTGTTTAATTTATCTCTTTTTACGAAATATATTTAAATGTGATTGTTAACCCGGTAAATCTAATGATCCAACCGTTCGTAATTAAACTACCAGCTGATTACTCTCAGCACTGATCTTGGAACAGCTGATTAGTAAACTACCTAATCTAGGATTTTATTTCCGAAAACCCCTAAAGTGTGTAGTGAACTTTGGGCAAAGGTATAGGGTAAAGGTATGGAACCGGTGGCAGACCTTGAAGCCCATTTTTGCTGCATTTGATTATCGATACTACCCAAGCGCACATATTCGAGGTTGCCAAATTGCAGTTTATTTTCGAATTATTTGCAGTGGAAATTTTTTTTTTTTGAATGTTAATCAATAATAATACAAATTCTATAATTAATTTTATAATTTCAGATTTATCTTGATATCCAAAATTAAGGAATGATATATAAAATTGAATATATAAAATTGTAATAATAATAAAACATTTATTTATATATTTACATTAGAATTAAAAATTATCATTTACGAATTTTTTCTTAATGGTTTTAAACTTATTTAATTTCTAGTTATTTACAGGCAACAATAGTTTTGATTATATGTATTGATGTATTGAAGTACTACCATGACGAGTATTATAGAATAATACACGTCAACGGGAGATAGAGGTAACATTTTACCTATAATGTTACTAATATAATATACTTTGATTATAATGTTGGTATCATAATTTCTTAAAAATATCAAGTTAGTGGATTAATAGCAATTTTAGACATATATTTTATTGAAGAGTTGTGATGATAAGACTAAAATAAGCTTTATGTTTTATCTTTTTCTCTTTAGAAGGGAGATGGTTTGTGTCGTAGAATACTTTACAGTATTTAATATCGTATACTTTGATATTCTTTTCTTAATTTACTGTAATTTCTTGTTTCCTATAATGCCAAATCTTGACAATATGGTGAAGGTTGAGTTTTGATCTTATTAGTTTTATACCTGTGTTTATACAAGACCAAATTAAGACTTAGTTAGTTTGTGATTTATATTAAGATCTTTCTTATAATATTGTTATATCTTAATCTTAATACTATATTATGCTTTGTCTGGAAAATAGATGTTAAAATATCTTAATTTTGCATATCCTATTCCATCCTTCCATTAGGAAAAAAATGGTTTATAAATCATATGTCATATATGCTAAGAAAATCACATAAATTAGGTGTAAGAATAGAGAAATCTTAAGGTAGCAGAAAAATTAATGCAATATATGTATAAGCAGATTAAACAAGGTAACTGTTAATGTTGCTGAAGCTGATTCTACCATTTTAATTACGGAGGCTAAAAGGCCTTTTAAATTAAGGCTTCCGTAGTTTTGATGGAATGTTAAAAAAAAAGAAACTATTATGAACATGACATGGAGCTACAGCATTTAAAATTAAAAAAAATAAAAACTTGGACACATCCTTTTAATTTCCCGAATTTTTAATAAAGCCCTTTTTAAACGTAGCATAATAATCTAGAGCAATTAGATTAATTATAGGAATCTAGAGTTTTATTTCTATTTAATTTTATTGACTATGAAAATACATAATAAGCGTTCACGTGTTGTGCGAAATATTAAAATAATAAATAATATACCGCGTACTATGATTGAAAAAAAATAGCGTCAGTGATGACTATGAAATGAAGATCGCTGTCATTTTATATGGGAAATGTCCTTAATCGTCATTTCCCAGCCAACTGGACGTCGTTTTTTCGATCATACGGTATATATTGACAAAAAAACACTGAAAAGCACATATTTGTTTTCTACTGAAAATAATTCCAAAATAACTTGCAACCTGGCAACATCGAAGATGTGCGCATGCGTAGTGTCCGTGACTATATGCAGCAAAAACTCGTTTCAAGTTCAGCCACTGTATCCGTACTATTACCAGTTCGGTAATGGTGTGGAATTATTTTTTTCCTCTTTCTCCTTGGCTGGGAAATGACGATTGAGGACATTTCCCATATAAAATGACAGCGATCTTCATTTCATATAGTCATCGCTGACGCTATTTTTTTTCAACTAGTACGCGGTATATTTTATTATTTTAATATTTTGCACAACACGTGAACGCTTATTATGTATTTTCATAGTCAATAAAATTAAATAGAAATAAAACTCTAGATTCCTATAATTAATCTAATTGCTCTAGATTATTATGCTACGTTTAAAAAGGGCTTTATTAAAAATTCGGGAAATTAAAAGGGATGTGTCCAAGTTTTTTATTTTTTTTTAATTTTTAAATGTTGTAGCTCCCTCCATGTCATGTTCATAATAGTTTTTTTAACATTCCATCAAAACTACGGAGGCCTTAATTTAAAAGGCCTTTTAGCCTCCGTAATTAAAATGGTAGAATCAGCTTCAGCAACATTAACAGTTACCTTGTTTAATTCTGCTTATACATATATTGCATTAATTTTTCTGATACCTTAAGATTTCTCTATTCTTACACCTAATTTTTGTGATTTTATTTTCTGTGAACATTTATTTTCCAGACATAATATAGTATTAAGATTAGGACATAACAAATATTATAAGAAAGATCTTAATATAAATCACAAACTAACTAAGTCTTAATTTGGTCTTGTATAAACACAGGTATAAAACTAATAAGATCAAAACTCAACCTTCACCATATTGTCAAGATTTGGCATTATAGAGAACAAGAAATTACAGTAAATTAAGAAAAGAATATCAAAGCACACGATATTAAATACTGTAATGTATTCTACGACACAAACCATCTCCCTTCTAAAGAGAAAAAGATAAAACAAAAAGTTTATTTTAGTCTTATCACCACACTCTTCGATAAAATATATGTCTAAAATTGCTATTAATCCACTAACTTGTTATTTTTAAGAAATTATGATACAAACATTATAATCAAAGTATATTATATTAGTAACATTATAGGTAAAAGGTTACCTCTAATTACCTCTCCAATTGACGTGTATTGTTCTATAAGACTCGTCATGGGTAGTACCGTAGTACCGTATCGATCGAATAAAAACGACGTCACCGATGGCTATGAAATGAAGATCGCTGTCATTTTATATGGGAAATGTCATCGATTGTCATTTCATAGCCATCGCTGACGCCGTTTTTATTCGATCATACGGTACTTCAATACATCAATACATATAATCAAAACTATTGTTGCCTGTAAATAACTAGAAATTAAATAACTTGAAAGAAATAAAGGTAATGGTGTGGATCCGGTGGCTGACCTTGAAACGAGTTTTTGCTGCATATAGTCACTGACACTACGCATGCGCACATCTTCGATGTTGCCAGATTGCGAGTTATTTTGGAATTATTTTCAGTAGAAAACAAATATGTACTTTTCAGTGTTTTTTTGTCAATATATACCGTATGATCGAAAAAACAGCGTCCAGTTGGCTGGGAAATGACGATTGAGGACATTTTCATAAAATGACAGCGATCTTCATTTCATAGTCATTGCTGACGCTATTTTTTTTTTCAATCATAGTACGCGTTATATTATTTTAATATTTCGCACAACACGTGAACGCTTATTATGTATTTTTATAGTCAATAAAATTATATAGAAATAAAACTCTAGATTCCTATCTAGATTATTATGCTACGTTTAAAAAGTGCTTTATTAAAAATTCGGGAAATTAAAAGGAATGTGTCCAAGTTTTTTCTTTTTTTTTAAATTTTTAAATGCTGTAGCTCCATGTCATGTTCATAATAGATTTTTTTTAACATTCCATCAAAACTACGGAGGCCTTAAAGGGCCTTTTAGCCTCCGTAATTAAAATTGTAGAATCAGCTTCAGCAACATTTACAGTTGTTTAATTCTGCTTATACATATATTGCATTAATTTTTCTGCTACATTAAGATTTCTCTATTCTTACACCTAATTTATGTGATTTTCGTAGCATATATGATTTATAAACCATATTTTTCCTAATGGAAGGATGAATAGGATATGCAAAATTAAGATATTTTAACATTTATTTTCCAGACCAAGCATAATATAGTATTAAGATGAAGACATAACAAATATTATAAGAAAGATCTTAATATAAATCACAAACTAAGTCTTAATATTAGTCTTGTATTTCTATTATTATTATTATTCTTATAAAACTAATAAGATCAAAACTCAACCTTCACCATATTGTCAAGATTTGGCATTATAGGAAACAAGAAATTACAGTAAATTAAGAAAAGAATATCAAAGTACACGATATTAAATACTGTAATGTATTCTACGACACAAACCATCTCCCTTCTAAAAAGAAAAAGATAAAACATAAAGCTTATTTTAGTCTTATCAACAGGGGCGGATACAGGAATTTATTTTAGGGGGGGCCCAAAATGAAAAGCAATGTAGAATATGGTTTTAGGGCGCCATTTTTAACACAAAAGCCTAATATTTTACACAATTCACAGACTTTAGGGGGCCGGGGCCCCATGGGCCCTCCCCCCAGTATCCGCCACTGCTTATCAACACACTCTTCGATAAAATCCACTAACTTGATATTTTTAAGAAATTATGATAAAAACATTAATTATAATCAAAGTATATTATATTAGTAACATTATATAATAGGTAAAATGTTACCTCTATCTCCGATTGACGTTTATTGTTCTATAATAAGACCCGTCATGGTAGGTAGTACTTCAAAACATCAATACATATAATCAAAACTATTGTTGCCTGTAAATAACTAGAAATTAAATAACTTGAAAGAAATAAAATAATTCTAATAAGTTTAAAACCATTAAGAAAAAATCCGTAAATGATAAATTTTAATTCTAATGTAAATATATAAATAAATGTTATTATTATTACAATTTTATATATTCATAATACTTTCATTTCACAATCTTCATTATTCTTCTTACCTTAATTTTGAATATCAAGATAAATCTGAAATTATAAAATTAATTATAGAATTTGTATTATTATTGATTAACACGCAAAAAAAAAATTTCAACTGCAAATAATTCGAAAATAAACTGCAATTTGGCAACATCGACGATGTGCGCTTGCGTAGTATCGATGATCAAAAGCAGCAAATATGGGCTTCAAGGTCAGCCACCGGATCCACACCTTTACCAAATTACCGAAATAAAATAATAGACCTTTCCCGTTAATCGGATTTTCAGCGGTCATAATGCGCGGACAGATTTGGCGCCGTTCAAATCTGGTTATAAACGGAGTCTTTAAAGGCTAGGGATAAAAAGAAATGTATCTAAAGAAATGACAGAGCACGGATGTCGTAACTTATGTCTGTAGGATTTATGGTATACATAACCCTACTTATTTTGTTTTCAATTTTTGTTATTTATATAAAATTTATTGAAAATTGTCTTTGTTCTTCTGCTCAATCCGTAAATTATTGTATTAGGGCAAATTTCAGTTCACAATGCGTAGTTGTATAGTCGGTTGCTCCAATTCGACCAAGCGATGTACTGACAGTATATTTTTCATTCCAAAAGGAACTCGGAGAAATATATGGACTACATTTTGAAAACAGATTCACAAGCAATAAGCGACAAGATAAGAGTATATATTTCCCAGACTGTATAGTATACTTGTAACTTACATCAACAAAACTTTGTTTTAGGTTTGCTGGCGTCATTTTAGAGGAGATTTATTTCATTTTTCAACAAGGACATAACTAAAACCCCATTGCATACCACGTTTATATCTGTATAATAACGCAGAAGCCAATGAAGCTGTACAAAATATAGAAACCAGTAAAACACCAAAAAAATAACTTCCAAAACAAAGAATACTTGATTACCCGATTAAATCAGGCGATATATAAATCTAAATTTTTAATTGAGAACACAATGATAATGAAATAAATTATAATACAGGTGTTAGGAGTCATAAAATATAAGTAAAATATTGTTAACAATATTTATATTTTCAAATCAGAAAAAGGACCTATTGGTGCAGTGCACCAATACCAATATATTTTGAAGAAAAAGGACTAATTATTATGATTATATAAAGGACTAATTATTATGATTAATCCAGAGCAATAATTTAATAATGTATATATTAATTATGGTATGCTATTAGGTTTGATGATGTTAACATCTTTCATTGGTTTTTTACTTTTAGGATCTATATTGGATAAAAAGATCATTGAATAGTGTTTTTTTATATTTATTAAAAATAAAGATAGAAAAAGGCAAATTAAATGCAGGGGACATTATATTAGCTGATAAAGATTTTGAAATAAACAGTATTTTAGAGCATATTGGTATCAAACTCAACATTGAAAGTTACTGGTATGCAGCTTCAAGACAATGACGTGGAATTTATCAGGAAAATTGCACATGAAAGAATACATGTGGAAAGAGCGATTAGAAGAATTAAGGCATTCAAAATTTTAGCTTCTAGATTACCAATAAGCTTGTTAAGTTTTATTAATTAAATTTGTACTGTGTGTGCTCTTTTAACAAACTTTACAACCATTAAGAAAATTAATCTTTAGGGAGATCTTCTCTTCATGAAAAATTTTGCTTGTGCTATAGTGGTAACTCCCGTTTAGACTTTTCCAAGTTTCCATAACGTTTTAGAGAAAATTAAAAAAAACATGTAATTTATCCATAAGTCCTAAAAATCAAAACCTGTTTCTAAGTTAATACAATTTCGTTTTCATTCTTTGGTAGAATTTTAATTAATGTTATATTTTTTGCTGTTTTAAAATGTTAAAGAAGCACAAGATTATTTAGTTCAATGCTAGAGAAAGGGTGATGATACTTTACTACAGCAAAAAATATGACGTTAATCAGAATTAATAATAACCATCTATGAAGGAATGAAATTGAAATTATAATACGATAGAAAATCGTTTTCATTTTTAGAATTTTTTTAAAAAATTCAACTATATTTAATATAGTTTTTTAAATTTACTCAAAACGGTATAGAAATTTAGAAAAGCATAAACGGCATTAATCATTATAAAATGAGCAAAACTTTTAATGAAGAATGTATTTTTCTCAAAATGTCAATAATAAACGTCTCTCCTCTTATAAGGACGATCGGGGGCACACTGTATACTATAAAAATAAATAATATATAAAATAAAACATTTTGTCAAAAATCTAAATATATATTACTAGCATTATTTCATGATTTTTTCTTAAATACACCACCATATTTGCCATTATCTCCATGTAGCGTGCGCCTTTCCAGTTGTAGAGCTTCACCAAACGAAAATTCATGAAAATGGTTCTCTTGTGGAGGGCAGCTAATTAAAATATTTCTAGTGATAGTATTTAATATGGGTAGATTAACTGGCATATCATCATTAGCAATATCTTTCCCTCCCCTATTTTGTTGACCAAAAATAGTAATTTCTGGATCTGGAAATATAAATAGTTTTACTCAACACATATATTTCATAACTTGAATACTGTAATATTATTAGCATAATTAATAAAACGATATATGATATAAAAAATAAGTATAATTTTGAAAGGTCAAAAGTGAAGTATAAAAACCTGCAAAAGCACTTACTGGTCTTCTCTGTAGAAATAAAAAAAGATAAAGGTATGCCCTTATCAATCTTTTAAAAAGGTTCTCTTCTCTCTAATTTCTGTAATTTTGTGGGCAAATTATCTGTATCTTCATTCAACATCGCAGAAGTGCTATGAATAGCAATTTTTGTTACAACGGGGCCCTTCCTTCTCAAAATATTTGTAGGTTTTTGGAATGTGAGATACCTTGCATCTTCAGGAATTACTTTTGTCCCACGTGGCTTATTCAATATCATATCTTGGGATGTTGAAGCAATGTGCTCGGGAGTTTCATATTCTACTCTTAATATAATGTCTTGCAAATAAAATTCTAAACCCAGCAAATGATGGGGAGACTGGGATGAACTAAAAGAAATATATAATTTATTTTATTATTAATGTTAAAATAATAGTCAAATACTCACCCAACTTCACAAGAACAATGACATTCTTGTATGCATAAATGTGGACTTGACATAAAAACTATACATAAAGTATGAGGTTTTTAAATGTGATTGGTCCACATTTTAAATGCACTAAAACTGTAAAGCGTACGCAAAATAATAAAACAAATATAAAAACCAAGAAATAATGTTCGAAGAAAGCTCTAACCAAACTTTATCTCCATAACAAAACAAAATTGACAAATACGGATGACAAGCCACACGCAACAAGCTAGGACCTACGATCTTTCAGTCTAGCAAACTTAACTTCATGCGCGCGCATTATGACCGCTGTTTTCGATTAACGGGAAAGGTCTATTCTAATAAGTTTAAAACCATTAGGAAAAAATCCGTAAATGATAATTTTTAATTCTAATGTAAATATATAAATAAATGTTATTATTATTACAATTTTATATATTCAATTTTATATATCATTCCTTAATTTTGGATATCAAGATAAATCTGAAATTATAAAATTAATTATAAAATTTGTATTATTATTAACACTCAAAAAAAAAATTCAACCGCAAATAATTCGAAAATAAATTGCAATTTGCCAACATCGACAATGTGCGCTTGCGTAGTATCGATGATCAAATGCAGCAAATATGGGCTTCAAGGTCAGCCACCGGATCCACACCTTTACCAGGGTTCGGAAGTAGTTTGGAAGTAGTTAATTAAGGCGTAATTTACCTGATTAACTACGTGTAGTTTTTCTTCTAAAACTACGTCTTTTCCCGTTCATTAACAACATGAAAACTACGTTAATAAACTATGTATTGATATTATGAATAATTTTCCTTTGTATGAGGTGTAATAGAGATAATATGATGTAAATATTATATTTGAAGCCATATTTCTTCTGTTTTCTTAAATACATTATGTGTTTTTAAAGCTTCAACTTATTATAACCTCACCTCAAACCTTTAATATTTGAAAGTTACATACATAGGTTACATAAACAACATTAACTACATGTAATGTAGTTTATGTAGTTTTTAAAAGTAACATGTAGTTTTCCGAACCGACCTTTACCCTTTCCTTTACCCAAAGGATCATACCCTTTACCTTGTTTTCCTTGTACCATACCATGAGTATCATACAATGTATCATCCTTATCATACTTTGGTATCATCAAGGTATCATATATATCTATCTCTATATCTTTGATATAGAAGGCAAAGGCCTTTGGCAAAGGCAAATGACAAAGACAAATGTTGACGTTGACCTGCGTTGACAAAGAAAGAAGAAATCTGTGAAAGGCATATAGAGAAAGGACTTTTGTTTTGTTTACATTTTTATTATAGTAGGAATTTTTATTGATTTTTACAAATATTTGTTTATAGTTTTATAAAAAAAAATTAAATAACCTGAAGAATGCATATTCAGAATAAGGAAAATGATGGAAAAGATACAGAATGAAAAGTGTTGTTGCGTTTGTTTAAAAGACGGCTTGAAGTTTAATAGGATATCGAAAAAATGTGAAAAAAAAATTTCGCTGCTTACAAAACTAAAAGCTTGTATACCAGAGATAGTAGGTTTCTGATAGTTGTTTTGATTTACGATTTAGTAGAGAAGTTTGGAAATCTCAAATAAATCCATACATTTTAGAAATGGCAAAGCTTTTATTTCATATGTGATACATGTACTAATTTACTAAGTCTTGCATATAATTTTCGTGAAACATGTGTGAAATCAGATTGTGTGAGAAGGAAACTTAAAGAAAAAATTGGTACAAGAACTGACGTTTTTACATTTAACATTAAAAATTCAAATGTCAATGGTGGTTTTATACCTGGTAAGTAGTTTCCTAGATAATTTTAGGCCAGCATGAAGTCTATATTTATTTAAGGAAGGATAAATTAAGGTGGATTATGATTTCACAATAGGAAAAATAAATAATTTATTTCTAACCAGAAGATTTAAATTTCAATATTTTAGATGATGTTAAAGAGGAAACGTGTAAGGATTTTTCAGAAATATTAGATAATATTAATGACACAAGTGATATAGATCAAATCCATGAAGAAAAAAACCATGATGTAGATAATTTATATAATAAACATGAATTTAAAAGAGGAACCGAAGATAATGTTTTTAAATTTAAAAATTCAGATGTTAATGGTAATGTTATACCTGGTAATTTTTTTCTTAGATACATTTATTATATATTAGATAATTTTAGGCCAGGACAAAGTGTATTTATCTAAGGAAGGATTAGTGGATAATTTGAAAAGCAATACTCTTTTACAAAATGAAGATAAAGAATCATTAATCAATGAGTATGATTATGAACATGGTACGTCACAAGAATAATCTGAAAACTATATTTAATTATAACGAATTTAATTTTAGTACACTCCGGTAGTGAAAGTGATGAAGAGGGTAAACCACTCAATGTAGAAATAGAAACTGAGTTTGATTCTTCTGGCAAATCAAACAATTTAAAGAGAAAACAGAATAAAGTTAAATTTAGTTGTGAAAAATGTTCCTTTAAGGTTTCATCAAGTACAAAATTATTAGAACATTGTACAGTAGAACATGAAATGAGACCAAGAGATGTGAAACCATTTGTATGTGATAGGTATAAGATAAAAACCTACATTAATTTATTACAGAACATCATTAAACTGCTAATAATTAAAATAATGATTTCTTCATTTTTTCTGGTTTCACTATTTATTCAACAATTTCTATATAGTCATAGATCTTCATAATCTTAATAAGATCTTCATACTCTTTATCAACTCTTCTTCCATGACAATAATAAATAATTTCATTTTATTTGTTATAACTTCTATTTTTAGATGCCCAATGCGATTCTCTAGTTCTTCAAACTTGTGTCAGCACCTTAAGTACCATGAAGGTATTAAATCTAATATGTGTTCATATTGTGGAACTGGATTTATAACAAAGACTGATTTAATCAATCATGAAAAGAAACATTTAAACAGGCGCGAGTATAAATGTGAATTCTGTGGGAAGAGTTTTAATACTCACAAGCATATTAGGTATTTTTTATTCATATAGAACAAATATTTTACATTAATATAATATTGTTCAGGTCCCACAAATTAATTGTCCATACTGACTCATCTTTGTGGAAGTTTGTTTGTGAGGTTTGCAGCAAACCATTTCCAATAAAGTCAAACTATGACAGCCATATGAGAAGGCACACCGGTGACAAAAAGTTTGCTTGTCATTTGTGTGAAAAAAAATTTACAACCAAATGTGATTTGCAAAGGCATACGAGGAGTCACTCTCACGTTAGAGAATATCATTGTCAACACTGTAATAAACAGTACAAAGATGAGAGAGTTCTTAAGGTGCATATGGCTAAAGTACATGGTTTAGGAAATGTAAAAATCCCAGTAAAGGAGCGGAAGCACACATGTCATTTTTGTCCGAAAGCCTATTATGCAAAAAACAAACTTACAAGACATTTGTACACTCACTCTGGAGAAAAACCTTTTAACTGTCATATTTGTAATAAGAAATTTAACGATAAATCTTATGTTAAACAGCATTTGCGGAACACTCATAATGTAGATACCAACGAGACTTTAGAAAGTGAACTTAAAATAAACTATGTTAATATCTCTTCTTAATTTATTCCTTTTATTATTATTTGTTAGTTGTTATAATATGACATTTTACATAAAAGAATCTAAATGGTAATTATTCTAACTATATAATAGTGTTGGGAAAATTCGAATTAAATAATACGACTAATTCGATAGTAAATTAAAACTAACTAATTCGAATTATCTTTTTCGATATATCGAGATAAAAATTAGTAGTATTTTATATTATATCTGTGGTAACCGAATTACAAATGAACATAAAACATAACCTCTTATGGACAAATACGAATATTAGTATTAGTATAGTACTATTAGTAGTATTCTTTCGTTCTGAACGAACTGAAAATTTTCACTTAAACTGATTTATAAAGGGAATCGGCAAAGAAAGGAACGATCCGATATAGAAAGATCCAGAAATCATTGTTATTTCCTATACCACGTAGGAATAAATCAGTTTAAGTGAAAATTTTCATTTCGTTCAGAACGAAAGAATACTACTATTATTTGGTTCATTTCCATCTCACCAAAATTTCACCGAACACTAAAATTAATTTTCTTCTTTTATCTTTATATTATATAAAATAAAAAGAAATACGAACCGCACCTAAACAAGACATACTTATATCGTTTTAGAGGAAGCTTTTATTTTAGATATGAGCTTTTCAATAGGAATTGAAACAATCATAAACTCGGCACTTTTAAATTTAAAACTTTAAATTATAGTTTAATTTATTAAACGGCTTCGGCACAGTTAATAGAATACATTGAATAAAGAATATTTTTTTTAATTTTTTATTCAGTGATAGAATATAGGTATGGCAATGGTTCAGAATTTGTTTAAAATAGCCCCCACATAGCCCCTAGACGAGCCAATGCCGTCTCTAACTCTAATAGAACAGCCTTGGGGCGAGATTTATGACGTCACGCTAGTTAGATACTACGGATTAATAAATATGTTGTAGAATACATGGAAAACATAATTATTCCTCAGATTTTTGGTTTGTATTTTAAAAATGATATAGTTTACATGAAATATACATAATATACAGTTAATAACGACAACATATATACCTATTTATATTAATAAATACTTTGGCAAATAAACTATGAACCATACAAATGCAGCAAATGTTTTACAATATACAAATAATGTATTACATAAGATATTGGGTAAAATGTAAATATATTTTAAATTTTGGGGTTTAAAAATCGATCTAATTTAACAAAAAACATTCAATATCTACTAATAGTGATGTATTATTATTTGCATTCACAAAATTTATATGCATATTTTGCAAGTACCAATGTTCGAAAAATTATATTTACAAATAATACAATATCATCTAAAAAAAGGCGTCAACGATGGCTATGAAATGAAGATCGCTGGCATTTTATATGTAAAATTATTCTAAAATTTTTGATTTTCTTGGGATTTTTAGGTTCGGGAAAAACGCTGATTTAAGTTTTCATTTGGGTTTCATTATTTTATTTGGTTTAAAAAAAACGTTTCGGCTAACTTAGCCTTCATCAGTGTTGTGTCATATGAAAAAATAGTGTCGAATATAATCCAAAAAATTACATATAAAATATTCACACCACATAATGTTTACTGCAATTAATAAACTAATATAAACTTATCAAAAGATGACCACATATTTTTTAGAATTATTATTCTTAACACTAAAACTATCTACATTGACTATGGAGTACGCAGTAAACATTATGTGGTGCGTGGAAAACTAGAAGGTTCAAGAATATCAGATTTTCCAAGATTGTAAAATTCTAGTTAATTATTTTATGTGTACAATTATTTAGGAATGTCATCGATGTTCATTTCCAAGCCAACTAGACGCCGATTTTTTTCGATGATACGGTATAATTCTTACATAAAATGTAAATAACATTCGACCAATTAAAACAAAGAAATATGAATTTCATAGTATTTTGAGTCACACCTTTATTCTTAAAACTTAATTTTGTATTGCAAATATAACAATTTTATTCATATTGTATTCAGCCATCACTTAAATATTTGATATTAATATGGTATTATAAATAATCAACACTATTCAGTAAAAATTACTGAACAAATATATGTTATACTTTACATACATTATATTATCAAACAAAAACACATTCTTCTTTTAAACTTTATCATTCTTGTCTTTACAAAAATCTTTTTTAATTTTGAACTCAAAATAATAATCTTTTTCATGATCTTTAATACACATATTCTTTATTTTTCCCTAGATCATAATACCTACTTACGTGTTTATGTCAAGGTGTATTACTGGTTGCATAACTGCATACTGCTAAAAAAATCGCAACGTGCATTGAGGAACCTGGCGCATTCGCCAGAAAGTAAAGAAAATTATAGAATTCTTTAGAAAAATCTAGAAACAACCGCCAGGGGGTATATAAGGCCCGCGCTTTGACAGTTGGACAAGTTAGAAGTTTAAAGTTTGAAGTCTGAAGAAAGTCTGAAGTTTGAAGTTTAAAGTTTAAAGTTTGAAGTCTAAAGTTTGTAAATACCGCGAAATACCGTTAGAGTAATAGTAGTTGCATAAGTTGTGTTGTAAATAGTATAAGTTGTGCGTACAGAGTGAAACAAATAAATTCGTTAAGTATTTTATCGTGAGTTTAAATAGTGGACCCACGGAATCCGTAACAATTGGTGTCGGAAGTGCGATTCAAGAGGATTTTAAGAAGAAATTAAGTGGATTGGAAGATTTTTAGACCGAATTAGAGTATTTTTATGGTTGGTACAAGGGAGCAGGCGAAGAAAATGGAGGAAGTAAGCAAATTATTGGGCGATTTTATGGAGAATATGAGAAGAGAGAAGGCAGAAGAACAAGAAAGACTCCGTAAAGAACGAGTAGAAGAGCGAGCCCGACTAGAAAAAGAGAAAGCAAAAGATAAAGAAGAGGAAAAATTACAACGACAAAAAGAAAAACAAGAAGAACAGGACCGGCTTGAGAAAATTTTCGGAGATTTGAAATTCCAACAACAATAAGATAAACAGGAAGAACAGGACCGGCTTGAAAAAATTTTCCAAGATTTGAAAATTCAACGACAACAAGACAAAGAAGAAGAACAGGACCGGCTTGAGAAAATTTTAGGCAATTTAGAAATTAGTCAGAAGAATGAATGGAGGGAAATTTTAGAAGATATAGAAACGCGCCGCCAGAAAGAAAGACAAGAAGATCAGGACCGTCTTAAGAAAACTTTAGAAAATCAAGAAATTCGACTTCAGAAAAGCTTGGGGAACAGCAACAAGCAATGTTGGAAGTACGTTGCCAGAACAGCAGAACCACTTCCAAGAAGCCGTAGAAGATCTGGAGGAGCGCCTTCAGCAGAAGATAGAAAGGTTGGAGATGGACCTACAGAAGACCAAGGTACAAGTAAGGACACCTGGCGTTCCGGGAACTGCGAACCTTAAGGCCCCGACCTACGATGGACAAACGACATGGACGATGTACCACAGCCAGTTTGAAGCAGCGGCTGCTGCCAACGGATGGACCGACCACGAGAAAGCAGCGGCACTTGTCATCGCGCTGCGCGGCCCTGCCCTGGAACTGTTGCAAACTATTCCTGCAGCCCAACAGCAGGAATACCAAACTTTGGTCGCTGCACTGGACAGAAGATATGGCGACCAACATCGACGCCAACTTTACCAGGCCCAGATCAAGTCACGCCTGCAGAGGTCCGAGAGAGTCTGCAGGAATTTGAAGCTGACTTACGTCGGCTGGTACACCTAGCGTATCCTGAAGCACCGGAAGGATTTAGGGAGGAACTCGCTGCTCAGTGCTTTATCAGCGGACTGAGGGACAACGAATTACAGAGGGCGCTGCAAATATCCCGATTTTCTACCAGCAGCGAAGCACTGGTCAGGGCGCTGGAAATCGAAGCTGCTTTTAGCGCCATCCCTAGACCGAAGATAAGATCGGTGACGGTAGAGGAACAGCCCGAGAGTACCACAGAAGTTTGGAGGAGATGTGTAGAAAATTCGACAAACTATGTGAGCTACTAATAAACAAGGGAATCAACAATAACCAGACAGAGAACCAGAGAAGATCCCAGGACATAAGGTGCTATAGATGTGGCAGGAATGGCCACATCAAACGGGATTGCCGCGTTCATGCGATCCCGTTCAGCATCCAGAGAACGTAGGCACCAGGAAAACTAAAATCAGTCAATACTAAGGGGCGAGTATTGACTGGGGAGAACAGAGCCCCCAGGATTTTTTCCATTAGGAGTCTAGGAACAACCGCTGACAGCTTGGTGATCGACGGGAAAGTCAATGGAAAGGGAATTCGAATGACTGTGGATACTGGCGCTATGGTATCGTTGGTGCGGGCTAACTCAGTGCAAGGATTGAAGCTGATGTCTCTGGGAAGAAGAGTGTGTTTACGTACAGTTACGGGGGAAATGGCCGTTGCACGGGGAAAGGCTATCGTCGAACTGAAGTTAGGAAATTTGAAGTTTCAGCATAGCGTCTTAGTGGCAGATATTGAAGATGACTTCATCTTGGGCATGGATATGATTCGTCAACATGGATTTTCGTTCGATCACCAGAGAAATATCTTAAATATTGGATATGAAGAGTTCATGTTATCTCCAGACAGGGACCAGGAAGAATGGATGTAAGATCAGCGGAAACTGTGGTGATACCTGGTAATACCGAGAAGATCGTATTCGGTAAAGTGGAGAAAATCGCTGGGTGCTGTGTTGGACTGGTACAAAGTGTCGACAAGAAACAAGATAGGTACTTAGTAGGAAAATCATTGGTGAACACCGACAAGAATATACCGATCAGAGTTGCGAATGTTTTCCCGAATTGTGTCAAGATTCAAAAAGGTGACAAGATAGCCATCTGCGAACCTGTAAGAAGTGTCAACCCGATGTGATCAGTGCCGTCAGCTGTTACACAAATGACATCCAAAGAAACACTAAAACATCTAGAGCAGCCATGGGATCACCTAACATCTGAGGAGAAACAGAAGGCTAAGGAGTTCCTGTTT